TGTTTCCGCTATAATTCACTTGGAATCTGTAAGGTTTCCCAGGTCCTCTGTACAGATGCCAAATCAGAGTCACTTAAGAAATCTTTGACTTTGAAGATTAAATTATTTCCCCATTTTAATTATTGTACTAAGCAAAGAGTTGGTTGCAGTCCTATCAGAACCCATTTGTTGAAATAGAAAAACAAATTGCATTAGAGCAAAACTAAGGGTTTTTTTCACTTGGAATCTGTAAGGTTTCCCAGGTCCTCTGTACAGATGCCAAATCAGAGTCACTTAAGAAATCTTTGACTTTGAAGATTAAATTATTTCCCCATTTTAATTATTGTACTAAGCAAAGAGTTGGTTGCAGTCCTATCAGAACCCATTTGTTGAAATAGAAAAACAAATTGCATTAGAGCAAAACTAAGGGTTTTTTTCTTTATGGCACTCAGTCCCTTGCAGCATTGGAAGTGCAATAATAAACAGCTTTCCTGGTTTGGCCAGATGAGAAAAATTAGGTTAATTCGAGAGAAGAGGTGGTTAATAAAAATTGTTATTTGGGTTATAATGAACACATTCCTCTATTGCATGGAGCATATTTTGTGTTGGGGTGCAAAAGTGAGTGATGAAGTGTATTAGCACTGAAATACTGGTGAGTGTAGCCATGAGCAAAGGGTGACTGTGCAGTGGAAGCCCTGGGCCATTGTCAGATCCAGTGTTTGTCCTTCCTGGAGCCAGCATTGCACCTCTGAAATGTGTCCATTTGGCTCCTACTGATGGGAATATCTGCTAGCAAGTATGTTAAGAGGAATGACATGCTTGGCTTTCTTAGATGGGCAGATAATGGCTGCAGGAGAAAAAACAGTGTCCCATGTGTGGCAAAGAATTTGAGGGGGTAAAAGGTGGCAAGTACTGGTTTGACTGTTCATCAGGCTCATATTTTTAGTTTGCTTTAAGTGAAGTTCAGATTAGATTTTTTTTACATTTTTTTCCCTTTTTTTTCTGATATTTCTAGCTATCTTGGCTGTAGAAGAAAACACTGAACATGGCCAGAATGTAGTCAGATTTTTAAAAAAATGGAAGGCAAAATGAAAGAAACCTTTTTTTATTAACTGCTGTGAATGTATTTTGTTCCTTTTAGTCTAGCTCAGTGCAGGGAGATGGGCCAGAGGGGATAATCTTTTTGTGTGGTGACACAGTAGCACAAAAGACTTCAGTTTCCAGAAGATGCACACGAGGAGTCACGAATTTGTGGAAATATTCCTGTTCTAGTTAGGCGTATTGGCATGCACTTTGTTTTTGAAATGGCTGCTCTTGTTGGGAAGAAAAGGAAAATTTATTAGAACCATGAAGTTTCTTTGTCTTTTGGTAGACCAGTGGGTAAAGTGAAAAAGCTGCAGTTTTAATTTTATTCAGGTGGGAGAGATGAAGCACTCAAAAGTTATGTTCTCCTCAGGCTGCTGATGAGCAGTGAACAGGTAACCAGTAGTCCTTGCATACTGGGTGCATCATCAGATAACAGTCATAGGCCCAAGTGCTTCTCATTAAAACTACTGTATAAATTCCTGTTCAAACATAGCGATTCAAAGCATACTGAAAAATTTGAACAAAGATAGATCTATCCTCATCCTCCCACTTTCATGAGATGCTAGAGAAGTCACAGGTCTGGAGATACTGAGATGCTTTCAGTACTCAGTTCCCGAGCTGGATAATTGCCTGCCTGGAGATGATTCCAGCATGTAATTTTTATGTGGCTTCATGTCTTGGACTTGCCCAGGGTTGCTAAATACACTGACACTGTTGCTGGTGCAGAGGCATTTCAGTTGCCAGCAATTTGGCTTCTTTGCAGCTGAGGAATAACAACGTTCAGAGTCAAACAGAGAGACCTTCACAGACATGTTATAGAGAGGGCTTAGGGAGGCAGGGAGGTTGGTATGCAACATCCAGGCACAATCTCAGCCTCTGAAGGAGGAGTACAGCCACCTTCCCAGCCATGTTGTGCAGCCTGTGTGCCACAATTCAGCATGCTGATAGCCTGGCAAGCAGCCTGCGTGAGAAGGACTTGGGTGGATGCTAAATTTGCGGTGTCCTGTTTCAGGACACTCAGCATTGGACACTGCAGGTGTGTTACTGTTGAATGAAATTGGGTTTACTCATTACAGATACCCCGAGCAGGTTTTCGTATTTGGCAAAAGAGCTGAGTGGAACTTGGCACATGATCAGAGCACTTGCAATGAGCTAGAAAGTTGGTGGAGAGGTACTTGATAATGCTGTAAAACTAAAAGGGGATGCTTTTCTCTCCACAGTTACACAAAACTTAAACTGCAGGTGACTCCAGAAGGGCGCATTCCTCTGAAGAAGTAAGTGCTGTTCCCCTTCCTTACCATGTAGTCACTGCTGACCTTTGAGTGTGAATATATGTTTGGGATGAGCATGTGGCCCCTGTGTTTAGAATAATCATTTTATCATCTGTTTATGACACATATTGCAGGAAAGCATGGCCAGTGATACTTGGGATGTCTCTGTTCAAATACCTTTGGCTGTAGACTGCCCTTGTGGTCTTCAGCAAGATATTCTGCTTTTCAGGCCTTCTTTGTTCTACTTGTAGTATTAAAAAAACCCATAATCTTTTTACCTCAGAGACATGTCTTGAGGGTAAATAGATTCAAATCGCATGGTGCTGGGGTAATGCGAAGAGACCAGTGGTGACTTTCTCAAATAACTTTGGGCTTCCATGGAGTAGAGTTAAACTCATTTGTGAGCACCAACAAACTCACCTCTGTTACTGAGCAGCCAGCAGATGGAAATAAATAGCTAAAGATGTGATAGTCTGGGAAGGCACATGAGCCATCAAGGCATGTATTAAGCCAATTGCCTGTTTTCTTTTCATTTTGCAGCATATATCGCTTGTTCTCCTCTGACAGAAAACGGGTAGAGACCGCGTTAGAAGCTTGTAATCTTCCATCTTCCAGGGTAAGCATCTGCATTCATTCAGATAAGTGTTGCTTGCATTAGGTGGTGTTGGGTCTCTACTGACAGTTTGTTCAAGGCTGATCATGCTGTGCTGGCTTTGCTGCTGGATAGGTCCCCAGTAGCAGGTCTTTCTTTCCTGCAGCAAAGTTTCTGGTACCCCTCTGCAAATCAGTACCTTTGATTTGAAGTTGTTTAGGGACCAGGAGCACCTGGGAAAAGCATGAATGGATTAAAAGAAAGGGCAGGGATTGCGTGACCTGTCCTGGGGAAATCCTGTGAGGACGCATTAAGAACTGGTGACAATTTTTGAGGCATGATTTCAGAACAGTGGTAGCTCAAGATGTAGCTAATGGTGTAGTCTGTTTCTTTCTCACAATGGTAAATCTATAGCTCGAGGTAAGTGGCAAGCTAAACTCACTGTAGCTTATCTAAAAGGTGCATGGAGTAAATGTTGAAGTGCTGCAGCTGTGAAAGTTGCTAATGCTGTGAGGATCCTGTCATTGTATGCTGCTAATCCAGGAACTGTCCTCAGCCCAGAGCATTTGCAGGATGGTACCTCACTCTCAAGACAGCTTTATTCCGAAGGAATGAGCTCAGCCAGGTGTTTCTAGTTAATTCTGGAGTGAAGATGTCCTTAGTCACACAATCACAGAATGGGCGAGGTTGCAAGGGATCACAGTGGGTCATGTGGTCCAGAGCTTTCCTCACAGGTGAAGATTCTCCTCCAAACAGCTTCTTACAGGACAATTTCTAAGTTTAGGGGTCTAAGACGTGGGGCAGAACTGTTCTGTAGCAGAGGAGAGCCTGCATCTCCTGCTCCCTTCTCTTGTAAAATACTCTGTGCTGTGATATTTTCTTCAAGTTTGCTTCCACAGTGGTTTAATAGAGCCAATTCCTACATCTTCAGAAGGGCAATGGAGTAAAATCTTCACAAGCCAAACCTCAGATACCTCTTAAAATGAGATCTTGCTCCATAGGTTTGAGAGCTTAATTCCATAAAATTCCAAGGAATGTCTGTAGAGTAGGTAAAAAAAGATTGTAATATAATCTTGCCTGAAGTAAGGTAGTGAGGTTAGAAACATGGAAAGAATAATTTTAAAGATGAGTTTTCATTTAATTGTTAGCAAACAAGACAAGATGTGAAAAAAAATCTCTGAGGCTTTGCTTTCTAAATCACTTGATTTATTACTTCCGTTTACTACATATCTCTGAAAAGAAAATCTAAATATCACTGGGGCCCTTGAAAGAAACTGCAGCCTTTTTCTGCTATTTGTTTAAGTAGAGCCAATTTTACATACACATCGCTGGATGCTTGTTGCTGGGATACCATCTTGAAAATTATTCATGGTAGAAAGTAGATCCTTTCTTTAGCTGGGACAAAAGAGAAATGCACTGCATGCACCAAAGAAAACTGTGCTGATCATCTTTGAAAAGTATTTTAGAAGCATGAAACTGAATCTCAGGGAGGAAATGGAGTAGAAGAAAATCAGAGCTTCAACTGCAACTCTTTTCCTTTGTGCTCCTGTTCATTGGAACAAGTAAGATTCTTACCTTCAGCTTCCAGCTTTTCTGTCCTGTTGTACTGCAGGACAAGTGGTGTTCCTGTAAAGCCTTGGAAGAGCAGTGGACTCCAGCAGCATAGAAGGCATGGATATCAAGGAGTCTTCCTCAGCAAAATTGCACCAAATTCTTCAGAGAATTCATGAAAGTCTCTCGTGGACATTAACAGCTTAGGCTCTTTAGTTTTTCATGTTGATGCTTCATGTGTGTGCTTGCCAGGACACCTCATGGGAAAACATGTAGGCACTACATTTAGTGAGAGAGGAGAAAGAGTTCTCATTGCCTGGAAATTTTTTTTCATCCTGGTGTAGAAGAATAGCACCAAAGAGGCTCCCCAGGAGTGCCAAAAATAAACCCTTTATTTCTTATTTAAGGACCTTAACAAGGGATGGATTGTCTGCAGTGCTGAGCACTCCAGCCCTGATTGAGTCAAGCAGCAGAGTGTAACTGCAGTGGGATGACCCATTGACTTAAGTCAAGCATGTTTTCAAAGCATGGATTGATTTATTTCTGCATTTTTGGCTCAGAACTGGCCTATGTAGAGTCTGGCAGGACTAAACCCTGTGTAATCTGATTTTTGGTAGCATTCATAATCCAGCAGATCTGAAAGCATAGGAATATTTAAATAAATGTGCAAACAAAGTTTTGATGTATGCCAATGCATTTCTGAGTTTGGCATCTGATTGTCCTATGATTTTTTAAAAAACCTACTACTTTTTGGGACTACTTTTTGGGAAGGGGATTGCTTTTTATTATTGTTGGATATTTTTGGTTTTGTTTTGGTTAAAGGTACCTTAAGTAGAATTTGAAGAGCTGTATTTTAGTCACCCTTTTGACTGTGAAGACTGGTTTCTGCCTTCCAGTTAATGTAGAGGTTCACGATGAAGCACCAGTGAACTTGACTGTTAAAATACAATAACCAGTTATGTAGTCCTGTCTGTGCAAATAATCTGAATTGGTTCTAATGCTGCCAAATATGTAACAGACTGGGTACAGATGTTACCAAAACAGGCAGGTTACCAGACAAACCATAAATCAACAGTGCTTGAAATTAGTAGCCTTAATCACAGAATAAAATTGAATGCCAATATTAAGCAAAGCTGGAAATGAGTGGTGCTGTCATGTGGTACAGAAAGTTTGTGCTTTGTTCATTGGTCTCAAAAAAGAGATCAGCACATAAGGTGTGTGGGTGGTTCCGCTGAAATGTGGATGGCTCAGACCAGGCTGAGGAAGGGGGCAGTGTATTTTAATCCCTTACGGCAGACAGGCTTTGGAAATCCAAATATAGTTGTCTGAGGTTGTGTCTGAGGTGGCAAATGCTCGCATCAAGGCTTTCATCTCCCATCTAGATATTTGAGGTTTCTAGCCCACTGATTATGTTATGGTAGGAAATAGTTATTAAAAGTTTCTGTAATTACCCTGAAGACTTATGTTGGTCATCCCCTTTGCAGCACGTGTTTGGAGATACAGAGAGGGAAACTGAAGTATGTTTTCTTAATTGGAACTGAGTGGCAAATCAAAGCCTGTATCTCAGTTATTGGAAGAGACTCACATTTGTTCATCTGAGCACCTTCAAATCCTCTGTAATGGAAAAAATATAGTGGGTCAATGGGAGAATGTAGTTCTGTGGTAATTACAGAATCAATATTTAAAATGCCCTTAGGAAGAGCACTGAATGAGGAGCAGTGGCCTCCTGAACAGGGGTTATAGGCAGAGGGAACGGGGGAAAATGGAGTGCCAGCTCTAAGAAGAAGATCCACCATCTTTGAGAGTCCTGACCTTTAGGGAAACATAGGTATCAGCAGTCCTATTCTCAGTCAAAAGCTCTGCAGCTCAGATTTATCCAAGTGTTGTGGGTGCAGGTTTGCACACAGCTCAGTGTCACCGGCAGCCGTAGCTGAAAGGAGTTATTTCCATCCTCCACCTTCAGGTTTCCAACTTCTGCATCCACCCTTGCACTGGATTTAGTAGTTGTGCCGTTGGCAGGTTACCTGCTTCAGCAAGCTGATCCCACGTTAAAATGCACAAGATGGTTTTGACCGGGTAAGGTCTGAACCAGTTCACCCTGCAGCCACTCGGTCTGCCAAATAAAGGAAGGCATGAGGATGTGATGGCTGGTGACCTTGGAATGTTGGAGCCAGGGGATGGGTACCCAGGTGGAGCAGTGAAACAGGCTAGCTCAGTCTGAGCATGAGCCAGGTCAGGTTCAATCTGAGCTTGTGAACTGAAACACTGAGCAATGGTCACACAATAAAACCCTCTTGAGCCTCTGCTCCATAGCTGAAACGAGACAAAGCGACGCCTGTGGCATTCATTTATTTATTTAAACCTAAACCAGGAAAAATATAGTAAAGTTTCCTTCTGTCTGACAATGGCTCAAATCGACACTTCTGGTTTCCTTGGTAACGGTATTAAACAGGCAGAATATATACAAGCGCCGATTTCCCCCTCAGCAGCTCTCTTTGGAGACAACCAGGTTCTGATGGTGTTTTCAGAGAATGGCTTTGTGTCCAAGTTGCAATTTTCCTCCTCCAGTTCATCAGATTTGGGAATTATTTTGGGGCTGTGCAGAGGCATCACGTGGGCCCATGGTGCTCCAGGAGCTATGTCATAGCTTTGGACAAAGGACACTCAAGCTTCATGCAAAGGACCTAGCCAGTCCAGTAATGGGAGTGAGCTGAGGGGCTTCATGGGGACTGATACACCTATTTATGCTATAAATAAGGGGTTAGATGGGGGGATGTCCCTTCCTTTTTCTTCACAGGTGCTCAGAGGAAGAGGTAGCTTTGCCTTATGGAAGCTGATAAATGTGTTTTCTATGCTTTTGTAAAGATGTACTCTTTAAGCTGCTCTGTTTTTCAGGGGAATTTATTATTCTGCAGAATCTGGGCTCCTAGGCTGCAGGAAGGAAATCCAAAGAATCCAAATAATGAATGATCTGTTTACAAAGACCATATAAAAGTGCTATGTTGCTCTTTCACTGTTTTTCTCCTCATTTCACAGAATGATTCAATCCCTCAAGATGACTTCACGCCAGACGTGTACAGAGTGTTCTTAAACAACCTCTGCCCTCGGCCTGAGATCGACCACATCTTTTCCGAGTTGTAAGAAAAAACACTCATTTATTTATTTATTTACCCCATTCACTGATTTTTCTGGGCTGAGGATGGCAAAGTAGGTTATTTAGACTATAGCAACATACAGTGCTTGCCACTAACAGATTTAAATATCAAAGAGGGCTGTTGCTTAACCTTGGATCAAGGGTTCCTTCTCTCCCAGGCTTTTGCCTCCATTTCTAATGGCTGGAGTTTGAAAGTAATTTGTTCCTAGAGGAGCAGGACTGCCGGGTCATGGTTTTCTGTATGAACCAAGATAGTTTAGGCTTCCAAGAAAGTAAAGAAAGAATAGTAATAAGCAATACCAGCATGCAATAAGCATGAGGATATGTATAATCACCTCCAAAAGCTTAATTAGGAGTTGCAAAAAATTGCAGTAACTTTTAGGATTTGTGTACCATGAATTCACACCATGAAATTAAATTAGCAGACAGCTACAGCTGATTTCATACGTTCAGTTACAAGCTCTGCAACTCATGGTGCTTCTATCCCTTGCAGCAATTCATGTACTTCCCAGTTTCAGCAGAGCCTGATCAATGGAGTCAGAACACAAAGCAATACACAAGCAAAGCAATTTCCAAAATACATCCCAAGACCACCAAAGCAATTAGTGAACATATATTTGCAATATGGCCGTGCTCATATATTCCTTTGAGGCTTGTTCTCTCTAAGGTTGAGGTTTCAGAGGAACACAAGCTTGTCCGAATTTGCTCCCACTAAACCTATGGCAGGCTTTCCATTGCTTTCTGGCAGAGTGAAGTAGGCCAGTCCCGAGTGCTATAGACAACCCTGAGCACGTCACCTGGCTTGGAGGCTTCCTGGATCTCCATCTGGGTACAACTTGTACCCAAACTCTGCTCTTTTTACTGGCTCTCTAAATAGGTGCCTTTTTGCTTGCTTTGCAGAGTGCTTCACAGTTTTTAGCAGGTTTCTAAAGAAAACACCCAAGCGAATACTAGAATAATGAACTCAGGGCTGCAGTTATTCAGCAGTAAACACAAATAGTTGGGCCAGGA